GAAACTATGGGAGTTAACGGTCTGTTTAACGGGACGGTTCATTCAGACGGACGGTCTGTAATTTTGCATACAACAGGGTAATTAAGCGGTGAACGAGTGCGGACTAACACGGTGTTTTGTAAACCATTATTACTCAATATAACTCGCTAGAAACAGGAAAACAATATAGATAGATAAATATATATTAGAATTAGAGTGCTGTGTATGTAGAAGAAAAATGTGTCCAGGTTCGCCCCGAAGTAAAATCAAACCATTATCTAACCAGATTAGAGGCATTGAATTTTTGAACCTATTTGAGAAGACAGAGAACATTTTTTTGTTCCTCCGCATAAAAGGGTTGAAACTACAAGCTTCTGGGTAAAGGAATAAAACGTAAAATGGCTTTTGATTAGAATGTTGTTCTGTCAAAATTATTAATTCTCATGCATTTGATTTGTTTTTATTATAAGTTTACTATAATGAAGGATTGTTATTATTGCGATCGATTTAATTTCACGTGATAGTAGTGGGAAGCGTGCGGTGCGGTCACGGAGAGAGAGTTCGCACAATGGCCGCCGCAGCGGTCGAATCGCGCTCGATGGTCCGCGCGAACTTTGACCTCGCGAACCCGCGTACATCTCTATTGTAATAAATCCTTACTATCTAATAAATATACCTTTATGAATATCTGCAATACTTAAAACTGCATGCGTTTATTGGGTATACTTTATTGGGCATCATTTGCAATTGAAACACGTAAAATCGTTGATATTATAATTATAATGTACTCCAAAAACTTGTTTTAATTGACTCATAAATCAATTCACGACAGCTGATACACGTACATGTTCCTGATTATAGATTTGGCATTAGAGTCTTTTCCCTTTTTCGTTCAAATCAATAGAAAACAAAAAACAATCGAAAACCCAGGCAAAAATTAAAATCTTTTGTTGCAACAAATAGGTTATGTTGAGGTCAAGTTTAAGTTCATTGACGGCATCGAGAGCCGCGCATTTATACTACTCAGTACAACAGGTACTAAAGTTGTGATGTCAGAGCTTGCTACCCCCCACCCCCCCTAGGGTGAACGACTGCATCATTATACTTGTTTCATACGAAGGCATATAGTAAACAGAACAGTAGATATTGCAGTATTGCTATTGCTTGGACACAAACTTGCCGTAAATTCAAATGATTAGATACTTGTTTAAGAACATTGTTATCCTTACTTGTTAAACAGTAGGAAAAGTATGGCAATGTAATAGTGGAAACTCACACTTACTGTCAAAACAATACTGTTTTGTCTTACCGTTGTGTATTCAAGCAATAACAGTACTGCAATGTTGCACTGCGTTACATTTTACCCTTGTGTGAAACTAGCATTACGTCGACCACATCATTACAGACTTGACGGAGCAGCTCGCGCCCGAGCCATCCTCTACATAGATTAAAAAGTTTTTTCTATCCAAGAGCGAGTTTATTTTATAACTATAGTGATATTAAAATGTAATTTTAAAAGCACTGCTATTTTTAACTCATCATTATTATAAGTAAATGCGTCTGTTTCCAAGTAAAGTGAAACATTGTAAATAAATTTATTTGTTAGTCTTTACGTTGTATATTAAAACTTCTTTATAGTATGTTCTCGGAAGAAACAGAAGTTCCTACGAAAATAAACGTTTATTATGTTTCATTATCATCGAATATTTCCAAATTGTTGTCAACTTCGAGTTTGAAATATGTTTTGTTCTAAACAGATCATCGTTAAGCATGTTAAAAGTTCTTTGACGGTCACTTGTCTACTTCTAATGTAAAAATAGTCTAGAACTTTCCATGCAATACAAAAAGAATAGTAACGGTATTGATAGACGATGAAAGTGGCCGCCTCAGGCGCGGTGTAACAAAGTAATTCCGATACAAACGAATACGAAATACCTTGCATATAGTTCAATACAACTCGACGCATTTATCGTAAAATCTATGCCATTGTTATGGCACTTTGTACGCGTAAAAGATAAAAATGCGCTATTTGAATATGCTTCGTTATTCTAGGCGGTAAATGGTGATACTTATACTTACTTAGATTACTTCTACTTAGAAATAAAAGATGCGATATTCATTTATTTATAGCGTATTGTTTCGTTTTTTCTAATAACGGCTTGTTGAAACGTTTGTTTAGCAAAAACTTTTACTTACATGCTCCTGATGTTTGAATTATAGTTTACTAATGCGTTTGTAGATAGTCTATACGTCATTAATAAAATCCAATTGTTAGAATATTCACCTTCTAGGATATATTTTTAATTGTTAACGTCTCATTCTGATGTACGGTCGCTTCTAATTGCATTTAACCGTCGTTACGTAGACGGAAAAAACCTGTACATATAGTATTGACACGCGATGGCTTACATCAGCATATATTGGCTTAATAAGCCGTTGGACTCACGTCGTCAAACCAATTGAACGGACTATATGATAACTGTACAAAGTATCAGATTAGTTTTGACATCTTAGAGTGGGAGCACACCTTTTACTAAACTACCGATGTCGTTGTGCGATTGTCGAATGTTTCGCAGTTATTCAACAGTTTAGTTACACAATTAAAAATCGAGTAGTGTGTGCACCTTCATATAAGCTCATAGGAATCAAAGCAAGACTAAACAGTTGTGCGATAGTCTAGTCAAATGTGGGCGTGCGTACTTACTATAGAAACGGAAAGGGGAGATGTAAGGAGAAAATGAAATTTAATAAAGACCGTCTGTCGTAGTTCTTGAAAAAAACAGAGATAATATTATTTTCACAGTATTTCTGTAGTTGATATGTGTCGTAAATTATAGACCAGTCAACCAGAAGTCATAGAAATATCAAGTTTGGTTTATTTAAATGTTACAAAGTTTATGCATTAAATAGCTATATCTTGGAAAAATTAAATTATTTAAACTTTCGTGAGACATTTTATAATTAATTATTTACGGCTTAATAATAAGCGTGGAAGCAGTTCCGCGTTTCGTCTGATGAGTGTGGTGCCGGAGATTTAATTTTAGTCCCTTTTCACCCTTAAGAGGTAAAGAATGGGAAGGAAAAGTGGATTTGACGGTGGAGGAGACGCATAGGAAAGGAAATTATAAAAAAAGTTTAATTAGAACTGGACTGGCATAATGTGAATACTAACTAGCGGCAGTTAGTTCATTAAATTTATGCCTGGCTTGAGCAGGCGTTATGTCAATGATTAAAACATAGTAAAGAAAGACAAATAAAATATAACATCATGGATAGTTATTTTAATATTAAATTATCGCCAATAGCCTAATGGTTTGGGTTACGGACTACCGATCTTGTGGTCGAGGGTTCGAATCCCGCCATTTGATTATTGTGAACCATATCCTAGCACAAGCCTAGAGCTTAGTTGGAATGGTTAAAGGAAATATTAGTAAATTAACAAAAGCCTACTAATGTTTTTATTTAAAAAAAAATACTTATTTTTCTTTCTTAATACAATTTTCTGGTCCAGCATTTTCTTACATATTACAGATAAGATATCTTTTTTGTTACTAAATATAATTGGAGGTTATGAATAATAATAAAACAACAATGTGCAAATATTTTAATTGACAACAAATAAATTTCTTTATATTAAATTGACACATTTACAATATTAATAAATGATTTTCATTACATAATTTTCAATAAATAGCTCGTAAAAATACAAATACAAAATAATAAAATCGTTCAATAGGCCTTGATATATAGGCCATCATGAATATTAAAAACATAATTATGCAATGAATATAAATTATAAAAATAAATTAGAGATCTTGGAATGTTTTTTTTTAAATTGGGGCAAACAAGATGCGGTATCGATAAATGTTATGTTTAAATTATTTAAGGTTATGATTCCTGTATCTGTTAATATATTTACTACAAATAAAATTTGGAATAAAATAAACTAACTTGAGACATATGTCAAATTGTAAATGATAAACTTATAAAAAGTTTTCCTCATAAGAAATACCCATCAATAAAATTATTTTTTCTTAAAACAAACACTAATATTAGATTATTTAAATAATGACTATAATTTTTAAGTGAATAAAATCTGACATATAGAGCGCTACAGATACATTCAACTAAATCTAAAAAATGTCTTTTTAAACCACTATATATGTTATTTATTTTGAAGCAGGTATAGTTCACAATTCTAGCTTCATTAAGGCCGTTTCTCTAAATAAACTAGTATTTCTTAATAACTATGACAGACATATGAATATATTTTTTTATATTATTGTATTCGATAAAACGTAAACTGAACTATGTTAAAATATTTGATAAAATAAAAATAACTTTTAAACATCTCGTATTGTATTAAATATTTTAATTTTTCTAAATATTTTCATTTTAATTATATCAAAAACTAGGCATTGCTCGCGACTTCGTCTGCGTAAAATTAAAAAACATAGCCTATGTTACTTACTGATAACATAGCATTTTAATGGTGAAAGAATTTTTGCAATCGGTCTAGTAGTTTTTAAAATATTTCAATACATACAAAAATCTGAAATTCCAAATTTTCCCTTTTTATAATATTAGTCTAGATGTAATCTATAAGCACTTTTAAATGGTAACACTGTAAAATTCATAATCATGAGTTTACTATAATTTCATAATAAAATTGCTTTTATTGGAGTATTGTTTTTTAGAGCATTATAGCCTGACCAGAAATATAAAAACTTCGCCATATTGCGGAAAAATATGGCACTACTTGCGCACGTTAAAAGTGATGGTAAAAATCGATTGAAACGCCCCAAAGCTACGATTTTTAATTCTCATTTAGGCTTTATTTTAATATTATTTAGATTGTAATAGATGTAAAAAAGACCATTATATAACCCTCAAATTGTATAAATTTACTATATTAGGCACTTATTAGTTACTAATAAATTTATGTCTTTAAAGGCCTGTCCCACTGGCCGATAGAGGTTCAGATAATTTAAAAATGACGTCACAGTCAGATAAGGTAACAAAATCTGATATTTCAGTCATATATTTTACACATTGGTTTGTTATCAGACAATTTACAATTTGGTGGGACAGGCTCTAAATGTCTTATTAGTTATATGTGTATGGCCTTTAATTCAGATCAAAGATAAATAAATTCTTTATTCATTTCTTTTATAAATGTCAGTGTAATAGTTTATTGTATAAATCTTATGAAATTTATATAATTCCTTAGCTTAGTAAGAGAGAGAGTTTAGTAAATTGAATTATTATGGCAGTAAAATATTTATTTCGAAACGCATAACACGACTAAAGAAAACTCATCTTTATAACCCGACTAAATAATACAGAGAGCTCTCTGTATATCACTAGAGATGGATACAACTGGATATAATACTAGAGAGGCGAAAAATATGATTTGCCTTAAAGACATTACTCTGGTATATACGACTCTAGAGAAATATAGTGCAGCAAACTTGTCCGGCCCGGTGTCATATACTATTGGGCAATCTGTCAGTGTCCCACTTTGAACAATCATTTGAACAATAGACAAATGCTCGCATTGGTACAATATGAGGCAGCTTTAAATGTGGTACGCTGTTAGTTGCTTTTCATTGAGTAATAGTTTTTTGTAAGAGGGTGAATTTGACCCATTACAAGGAACTATTCCTATAATGAAACACTGTTAAAGGCCCTGATTGTACACCGAAAACGATGTTATGATATACATTTCCATCTGTATATAGTTTCACTTTTTGTTGCGGGTCGCTAGTGTTGTGACGTCATCAGTTACCAACCTTCTCAGTGCTGTAGTACTGCTGCGCCAGGTCGAACAGTTCCCGCCGCATCAGCTGCGCCTGCGCCCTGAGCTGCTGCTCCCGCGACCTTATCGCTCTGTACTGCTCTTCACGCTCCTCCGTACCTTGAGGTGTCAACCAGCGTAAGTAGAGCTCTGGAACACAAGAAACATATATGAAAATGCAAAAACCAGTGTAACAACTCAAATATAAATAGTGATAAGCTAAACAAAGTATTCCCGCGTTAATCAAATGGATAAATGATAACGAAGGCATTTGACATTGGATAACAATTACCGTTACCATGGAAACCTTGCTTCCTCCATGTCAGCTTGTATGGTCTCTTTCCCATAAAGGGTTTTTTCCTTTTATTTACCCCTTAGTTTAATAACACGACAACAAACAGCCTATATTGTAAAAGTAAATTAAGGATTTCTTATAAAAAAAATAATTAAAAATATGCTGTCATCGCCGACATGACATAACAAAGAAGTGTGTTTACATTTTATAATATTAAGTACTAGCTTTATCCATGACTCCGTTCGCGTGAAGTTAAAAAAAAGTAAGTAGCCTATACGTTCTTTCAGACTATCGTCTTTATCTATACCAAATTTCATCAAACTCTAACAAACATCCATACATCTAAACATTCGCATTTATAACATTAGTTAGATATTAGTATAGGTTACCTTCCCATATAACGAAGCTCATAGGTGCGACGGATGGCCAGATGACGTTGTGCGTGGGCTCATAGAGTGGGTTGATGTAGCCCGCCAGCTCCTCGGGCCGGTTCAGCCACGACCACACGCTGGTGGTCTGCGCGTACACGCCGCAGCCCGCGCGCTCCTGCTCGCTGTCACACAGGAACGTGCCTGCGCAGTTTGATATGTTACAGACTAGCTTTAACCCGCGATTTTGTCCGCGCGGATACAACAAAAGTTACTATCTGAGTTGCTATCCTTTTTTTTATAACATAAAGTGGCAAACGAGCAAGCCACCTAAATCTGCCAAAATGGCGAAGTGATCGCTATCCATAGACATCTGTAATTGCAGATGAGTTGCCTACCCTAAATAAGGAGAAGACGCACATAAAGAGAATATATCCCCTTTATGTACGTCTCCGCCACCGTCACATCGACGTTCCCTTTCCATCCCATTATTGGGAAAAAGGGTGGGAAGGAAAAGGGAGTCAAGTTGGGCCTCCGGCACCACACTTATCAGACGAAACGCGGAATTGCTCCCCCTTCACGCCTGTCTTCTGTGTCGTTGTATTCAAATGGTTTCTAATTCTACATGGTGAAAAGTTCTACATCTTCACAT